CTCTTGACTTGAGATTTCCTACCAAGGCCAAACCCAGGAAGCTATGTGACTTGATACAGTTCATGTGGGTTTTAGGTTATGGAACAGGGTGGAGAAGGGGGAAAAAGGATCTCCAGGGACAAGCAAGATATCCAGAGGCTGAGGATGAGCTCAGTTTCTGAATGTTGAAAAATGTTGAGTTTGATAATATGCTGATGTCTGCTTCTTATTAGTGGATTAAAGGAGTCTTCGGAACCACCCTTCCACTCATCCATTCCATTGACCTTCTGATCATTTAACCTCATTCTTTAGTCTACCATTTAAGATTTGTTTAGTACCGGGCGCTGGTGGCTCACGCCTGTAATCCTAGCTATTCAGGAGGCTGAGATCTGAGGATCACGGTTCAAAGCCAGCCTGGGCAGGAAAGACTGTGAGACTCCTATCTCCAATAAACCACCAGAAAACCAGAAGTGGCGCTGTAGCTCAAGTGGTAGAGTGCTCGCCTTGAGCTGAAGAGCTGAGGGACAGCACCTAGGCCCAGAGTTCAAGCCCCACGACCGACCAAAAAAAAAAAGATTTGTCTAGTATTATTTCATCTTAAAACATGCTCTAGTTCATGAATTGGCTTTTCTCCTGAATATATTTTACTCTTTCACCTTCATTTTAATTCTAGGAACCAAACCGTCTTATAGTCTGGTAATATTTTTCATCCATTCACTTTGTAGACATCTTTCTTAGAGTTACCAGTCCTATGGGGACTTTCCTTCCTCAGAAACTAATTTATCTTGACTTTTTAAAAAAGTGGGTCTGGGGATTAAACCTAGGCTCTCATACATTCTAGAGAAGTGTGGTACTACTGAACTAACCAACCCTCCTTTACACTGGCTTCTTGGTTAAAACTGGAAAGAGGTAAAAATATGCATGTATATATAACATGCATATATGTATTTGAGAGATTAGGCTCTAGGGTTTGAACTCAAGAGTCTTGTGCTTGTTAGGAAGGTGTTCTTCCACTTGAGCCACTTCCTCAGCTTCTCTTGCTTTAGTTAAATTTAGGATAGGATCCTATGTTTTTCTCACCCCTCCCATACAATCTTATTTACACTTCTGAAATGGCAAGCTTTTTTTCCCCCAGGTTTTTACTGGCTGAGATGGAGTCTAGCAAACTCTTTGCTTGGGCTAGTCTCTAGCCTTTATCCTTTTTTTTATTTTTGACAGTGGGGATTGAACTCTGGGCCTCTGTGATGTCTCTGAGCCCTTCAGCTCAAGGCAAGCACTCTACCACTTGAGCCACAGCAATACTTCTGGTTTTCTGGTGGTTAATTGGAGATAATAGTCTCAAGGACTTTCTTGCCCGGGCTGGCTTTGAACTGAGATCCTCAGACCTCAGCCTCTTGAGTAGCTAGGATTATAGGCAGGAGCTACTGGCGCCCAGCTTCAATCCTTTGGATTTCAGCCTTCCAAATAGCTATCAAGCCCTGTTCTAGAAACATAAATTTTAAGATAATAAGGTAATTTAGATGATAGATAAAATAATGGTGGGGAGGAAAAATAGTAAGGGGAGGAAATCATACTTTGGTGGATCCCTGTTTATGCTATTATGATGTATTTCTTTTCTTTCTTTTTTTTGGTTGGTTGTGGGGCTTGAACTCAGGGCATGGGTGCTATTCCTGAACCTCCTTGTGCTCAAGCCCAGTGCTCAACTACTTGAGCCATAGTGCCACTTCCAGTTTCTGAGTGTTTAATTGGAGTTTAGAGTCTCACAGGGACTTTCCTGCCCAGGCTGGCTTTGAACCACAATCTTCATCTCAGACTTTTTTAAAAAAAATTTTATTTATTTTTTATTGTGAAAATACTGTACAGAGGAGTTACAATTACATGGGCAAGATAATGAGTACATTTCTTTTTTTTTTTTTGTCGGTCGTGGGACTTGAACTCTGGGCCTGGGCACTGTCCCTCAGCTCTTCAGCTCAAGGAGAGCGCTCTACCACTTGAGCTACAGTGCCACTTCCGGTTTCCTGGTGGTTTATTGGAGATAGGAGTCTCAAGGTCTCTCCTGCCCAGGCTGGCTTTGAACTGCAATCCTCAGATCTCAGCCTCCTGAGTAGCTAGGATTACAGGCGTGAGCCACCAGCGCCTGGCCTTGAGTACATTTCTTATCAAGTATTGTAGCCTCCTCCTTTGTCTCAGACTCTTGAGTAGCTAGGATTACAGGTCAGTCATGGATTCTGGTCCTATACGTTTCTTCTTCTTCTCCTTACCAACTCTTCAGTCTTTTTGGTAAATAATCCTTCCTTCCTCTTTTTCTCCTATCAACTATGTTTAACTCTCCTTTTCCTGATTAGTCTTACTGTACACTGTACACATTCCCTCTGTTTTTTTTTTTTCTTTTTCCTGGCCTCAACTATTACTTGCATGCCAGTGATTCAGGTCTAAATCTCCTTTTCTGAACTCTTTGATTTTTTTTTCTTCTTGCAATGGCAGATAGTATCAGAACTCTGAACGAATTCCCAGGCTAGTACTAAAATGTGTTTCCTTCATTTTTATTCTTTTGAGACAATGCCTTAGTAGGTAGCCTAAGCTGGCCTTGAACTTGCTTTGTATACATGAATCTTTTTCTTTTTCTGTCAGTTGTGGGGCTTGAACTCTGGACCTGGGTACTATATTTCAGCTCTTCAGCTAGCATCTCTACCTCTTGAGCCACAACGCCACTTCCGGTTTTCTAGTGGTATATTGGAAATAATTGTCTCATGGCCTTTTCCTGCCCTGGCTGGCTTTGAACCGTGATCCTCAGATCTCAGCCTCCTGAGTAGCTAGAATTACACATGTGAGCCACCGGCACTCGGCTTATATTAGAATCTTGAACTTACTGCCTCAGCCTCCTGAGTGCCCAGCTGTTCCTTAGCTTTTGAACTTTTCTTTGAACTTGCTCCTGGGTTCATGTTGGTTCAGTTTTTGTATCATCCAGGCTTTCTTTAGTATTGTTAGCAATGAAAACACACCGACAAGCCGGGCGCTGGTGGCCTAGCTACTCAGGAGGCTGAGATCTGAGGATCGCGGTTCAAAGCCAGCCTGGGCAGGAAAGACTGTGAGACTCCTATCTCCAATAAACCACCAGAAAACCAGAGTGGTAGAGTGCTCGCCTTGAGCTGAAGAGCTGAGGGACAGCACCTAGGCCCAGAGTTCAAGCCCCACGACCGACAAAAAAAAAAGAAAACACACAGACATACACACCCAACTCCCTAAAAGTGCCAGTCATTATTTATATTATTAAATGTAAGCCATTTTTGATTTGATGAAGTTATGATGTGATGAAGTTTGTTGGAAAGCCAAAAGTCTCTACCTAGACAAACGGCAAACACTCAGTTTTGGCCACACTAGAATCTAAATCATTTACTTCTTTTCCTGATCATCTGGAATTTCTTTGAGTAATTATCCTAAGAATGGTGTAATAGAATGAAGATAGAGTTTATGCAAGTACTAAGAAAAAGACATTGAATATAAGATTTAAAAAACAATTCTCGGGGCTGGGAAGGTAGCTCAGAGGTAGAGTGCATGCCTTGCAAGCATGAGGCCCTGGGTTCAATTCCTCAGCACCACATAAACAGAAAAAGCCGGAAGTGGTGCTGTGGCTCCAGTGGTAGAGCGCAAGCTTTGAGCTGAAGAGCTGAGGGACAGCGCCCAGGCCCAGAGTTCAGGCCCTGGTGGTTCAAGCACTGTGGCTCAAGTCTGTAATCCTAGCTACTAAGGAGGCTGAGATCTGAGGATTGCAGTTGAAGCCAGCCTAGGCAGGGAAGTCCAGGAGACTCTTATCTAATTAGTTACTAAAGCTAGAAGTGACACTGTGGCTCAAGTGGTAGAGCATCATCCTTGAGCACAAAAAAGCTCAGGGACAGTGAGGACTGGCACCCACACATCCCACTCTTTCTTTTTCTTTTCCAGTTTCTTCTTCTTTTTACTGGTCATGGGGCTTGAACTCAGGGCCTGGGTGCTGTCCTTGAGCTTTTTGGGTGAAGACTAAGGCTCCACTACTTTGAGTCACAGCTCCACTTCCTGTTTTTTAGGGGGCTAATTGGAGATGAGTAAGTCTCAGGAACTTGCTTTGAACCACAACCCTCAGATCTCAGCCTCGGGGTAGCAGCTAGGATTACAGGCGTGAGCCAGTAGTGCCCAGTTTCATCTCTTTGATATACACCACATGGATTTTAAGCGCACATTTTATCCACACATATTTATGGAAACTAACCAAAGGGAACTCAGAGAGATATTGCTGGGCGGTTTCTGAGAATTGCTTGAGTTTCATTAGGCATGAATTGTGTCCTATCTCCCCCCCTGGTCTCAGCCATTTTCTTACCAGCAACAATTCTTTCCTATTAAGTCCACCAGGATGGTTTTGAAATCCTAACTTAAATGCTTCACTCAACTGCTTTCAAAAGTGCTTTCAGAGTGGAAGTTAAAATACCATCTTCATTCTGGCTGTGGTTCTGCACCGCAGAGGGGCAATCTGGGTGAAAAGCCGGTCACCAGCAAGGAAGAGCAACAAAGTCAGGCTTTAACGGGATGTGCACGCAGCTTACACCTTGACTGCAAGGCAGACACAGCTTTAAAACATCCAAGAGGTACTGGCTGCCCAGTGCTAAATTACCAGTCTTACAAGTTGGGCACACCAGGATGCCTTCTTTCTCTAAAACCAGAAGAGAAAACAAACCAAACCCAAAACAAATCCAACGGAGGCACCAAAGCCCCTCTAAGTACCAAGGGAAAGCGCGCCAACCACACAAAGAAAAGGAGGGGGGCTACAGGGATTCAAAATCATTTCCCTGGGACGTACATTGTCCCGAACCTATCCGAGTTAACTGCGCGCTTGATCGTGGCCAATAGATGCAAGGTTTCTGGCCCAGGTCTACCCTAAAGAGTGACAGGCATCCATCTAGCCCAATGGAATAGCGTGACACCGAAAAATCCACCAATACATTCGGGAGGTGGGTGGAGTATTGGCCAGGGGGTTGGCAGTGCCGTGTCATGGAGGCTCAGTCTCGGAGCAGCCATTGAAGGGGAAGGAACTGCGGGAGTGTGTGTGGTGTGTGTGTGTGTGCGTGCGTGCGTGTGTGCGCGCGCGCGGGTGTGTGGACAAGGAGGTGGGGGCAGCCGAGTTAAGAGTCCTAACTCCTTGGACTCCATTTGCTATTCTTTTCTTTCTCCTCTACATCTATTTGGTGGTTGTGGGCATTTGTATTTTGCTTTTCTTTTCATTCATTTCCAGATCTTAAAAATAATTTTTTTAGGGTTGGGGGTAGTGGAAAAGGGGGTGAAGGAGGAGAGTAGCAGCAGAAAAGCAGGAGGACATGGAGATGAAGAAGAGGATTAGTCTGGAGTTACGGAACAGAGCCCCGGAGGAGGTGAGATGACTCAGCCCCCACCCCTTCCCCACCAGCCCTATATTCGGGGGTTGGGTTTTTTTTGGGGGGGGGTATCTTATCTGTAAGCGTTTGAGGGGAGGGTTAATAAATTAATCCTCACCGAGGGTGGAGGAGGTGGGAGGAAATGCTTAATTCTAAGTTTTAAATCATTAAGACCTCCTCTACTTAAAATGGCGAAGGGCTTAAGTTTCTAGGGGCGTTTTTGTGTGTGTGCCCGGGGGCTTAGCCCCTTGGGTTCTCGGGGAGCTGTACGTCCCGCCTGATGGGGGCGGGAAAAGGGTGGTGTGGGGGCGCCCGGCCGCTGCGCTGCGCTGCGCTCGCTCCGGCTCGGGGGCCGCCGGCGTGGGCGCGACCCCCAGC